GTGTTAATAGTGCATCACGGTGAGCTGGATGTGGCTAAATAAAACGGATTCTTCTGCGGTACCAGGAGACTGCCTTGTTCGTGGCCCTTGGCAGGGCAGCTATATGGAAAAATCAGCTGCTTTTTGTTGTGTGGCTTAATGGGATGCAGGTGGAGAGTCTGCCTTTTAACGTTATATGGAGACACCCCATGGATCTCCACGGGAACTAACTAAACCAATCATAAACCAACACAATCCTCTCCGTGAAGGTTTTTCTGCCTGCGGCCAGAAATGGATTAGAGGAAGCTAAGTGGTCCTCAGTGCCATGGGCAGACACTGGAGAAAGGTGACGGTGGAAATGGGTGCTGGAGGAAGTGTGGCTGAAGGCTGCATGGTTGTTTCATGTGAAGAAAAAGAAGCCATAATAAGAAAGACCTGGACGAGGTCTGGCTTCATACCCCGTGCTCAGTTCTTCACATTTGCATGTTTATATTACTAGTGAAAGTTCAAGGATTACAAAACATGTATTATCATAGATAGATACAGCACTGCGGATAATGTGTTGCCCTTCCAGCTTTTTAGTGTTTGCAAATTTAAGAAATAACAGTATTATATTGTTCGCGCTAATGGTAGTATTTAAATTTTTACTGCGACTTTCCCAAGTCAAGAAAGCGATGCAAATCTAAGCACTTTTGATTTGAATTTAGTGCATGTGATTTCCGTGGTACCTGTCATTATTTGGATGATGTGTAAGGGTACTTTACTTACTATTTCACATTTATAAAGCAGATTTTAACAGTATTATTAGTAAAGCCGGATGGTACTTTCCTCACATTTCCTAACTGGAAAAGCAGCTTGAGGTGGGCTATGATGTGTCTACAGTACATTCATCTTCTTCAAGTATTGATATGCTTACAAATGTGCAAGAATTAAGTTTATTAATATTATTTAACCGTATTCATGTAATGAAAATGTTTTTTAAATAGATATTCAAATATTTTGGAGAAACATACAGATAAACATGCATATAGATTTATTTTCATTTACATATGAATAAGACTCATTACTAATATCAGAAGTTGGATTCATATCGACAGCACCTGGCTTCAAGAGCCTAACAGTGTCACTTTACTGTGTAGGTTTAAGTGATGTAATGAAAATATTTCCAGTCATCTCATGATTTCCATTCTTCACCGAGGTTTGCTAGACCTTGAGGGTTCCTCCATTCAGCATCAGCTCATATAAGGATTTGTAAATCTTTAGAAGTAATTGTCATTTAACAATGTACAGAACAGTATTGGAGATTCACCGCACTGCAGCAGAAAATCAATCCAAAGATGGTTAGGAATAGAGCAGAGTTTGATATATAATTTGCCTCTTATTTCAGTAGACTGCCCTTCTTTCCACTAGGTGTAGGTGAGAGAGTGTAGATTAGGCATGTTGTCACCACTGAGTGTCTCTTTTCTAGGATAGTGGAGCTTCTTTTGTTCACTTAGTTACTTGGGAATGCAATAACCCCACTTTTAAAACTTTACATTATTTACTGCACAGGCTTCTCCAAGATCAAGCTTGTCTGCTGAAGCTCCTCATCTCTTATTCTTTTTCATGTAACAGCTTCCACTAAGATTTTAGATTTGTATCTCACTTCTGAGGGCAAACTTAAGGTAATATCAAGGAGATTCTGTGTGGTTTTAATTTCTGCATTGATTGAGAAGGAAGTGTGTGTCTCAGGGAGACACGTCTGACAGCATCTAAATGTATGATTTGTAACAAGCTGAGCTACATGACCTGGAACTGTCAATAAGAAGTAAATTTATTTTAAAATGTATTATTTAATTTAGTTTGACAGTATTACCAAAAAGGATGAGAAATGATAGACATGGTGATAAGGGATGTATCTAACATTTGTGTTTAATATATTCAGTGAAATTTGCGTAAACTTTAACTTCGTATCGCATGTATTATTTTTAAATAGATGCAGAAAATGTGCAACATTTTATTCTGTGTTTTAAAGGATCACTGTTACATGTTTGCATAATGCAGATGACTTCAAATGATCCAGCAGAAAATTTTAATTATTACATGAACCATATCCCACAGTTAACAAGCATGATTATCAATTATTTAAAAAATTCCAGTAATTTTAGATGTATTTTGTACAATACTCCACGCATCCACCTTCAAAGCTGATCATCTGAAATTAAACATTTATCATTAAAATTTTACTGGTCGGGAAATTCTAAATGAATATTTGTGCATTTTCCCAGGTAATGTGTGAAATCAGTCTGTGTGCATTTTTTGTGAAATTGCAAGAACCAGACAGAACATCAGATCCATATATGGAGAAAAGCATAGTTTCAATTTGTCGGTAATAGTATTTGCATGTATTTAATGGTGGATTAAAGGGGATTTTAATGTCTTATTTGCCTTCATGAATTTGTAAATTGCTTCAATGCATATGTAATTGTCATGGTGTTCACTGTGCACACTCACACAGACACACACACACATGCACATATATGTCACACCATATCATAACCATAAATCATATGTCATTATGTTTTTTATGACTGAAACAGGACTTTCATTCTCTCCCCTTCATGACTGAGTTAATTTATCTGTTTGTTTGGTACCAGAGAACTAGACTAGAGAGCTATGGATCGATTGGAGGAGTGGCAGTCAACTAGCTGAGCCCTCATTGGCTAATATGATTTGAAAATAAGCAGTGTATTGTGTGCCCAGGGAGAACATTTCAAAACATTGTAGCGTAAAATCACTGGTTTTGATTTGTATAAATATTTCAATGGAGGGGAGGGGGGGCATGTACAGTACAAACAGAATATATATCAGAAGGGGGAAAAAATGTTTTGCATAATTTATCATTCAGAGTTATGTTTTTGGAAGTATTAGTCTTTGTTTTTGGATTGTCGTTCACATGGCCATTTATACACATCCATGCACAAACATGTATACAGATATATACCCACACATCCACATCACCCATGTGTTTACTAAGCCTGCCGTTTCATTTGTCTGTCTTTGCTGATGGTGATGCCTGCAGTATCAGGGACACTAGACTGGGGGTGGGGTCTCTGAGTAATGGGACAAGGTCGGCTGGAAAGAAGGAAGAAGGGAGGAAGGGGCTTAAAAAATCTGAGGAAGGTAGGGGGCCTCATCTTCATTAAATCTGAGGATTGAGAAAAGTTGAAAAGGGGTTAGGCTGGTAAAAATGTATTGCCTCCTCGTCCCTCCTCCTTGGTCATGCACTCCACACACAACATTGAACATCTTCATCCATAATTGATGCTCGCTTTGGGCAGATGCTATATGCTTTAGCTCTACATAAGCTGTTAACTTAATGGAGAAGAAGGAAGCAAGATGGCAGGAGGCGACATTTTCCTCTTACTTCCTGTTGCAGATTCATCTAATTTCTTTGAATTTTTGAGCCTCATTACTCCTCCCAACCCCCATCTCTGGTTTCGTGCCTGTCGCTGAGAGGTGATTTTTCATTGATGCTGGTAACACTGGGATGCATAAAGCCAATCACTATAGCAGAGACTGATGAGGGCGCTAATCTGATTTGTGCTAAAATAACTCATATAAGACCTCTTTTTGTTGTGATAAGGTTTAGTTGACTTTTTAGATTTTTTTTTTTTACCGTGCAGTTCACATCACTGTTACTCCACATTGTTTTTTTTTTTGAATCAAAGCTTTTTTTTTTGTAAATTGTGGTGGGCCATTACGTTAAACAGTAACTACTGTGACATATCAGCAAACACACCCAGCTCACTATATAAACACATTGATCCACAAGTACCCATGATTTTTTTTTGATGTGGTGTGAATCAAGGCTGGACGGGAAGAGAGGATATTTAATAAAGAGAAGTGCTGGACGACTTCTTGGAGCCCGACGTTCTGCGCGGGTTCGGCACCGGGAACTGTCCCAGCCTGGCACTTTGCCGTTGCGTTTGTGATTTTCCCGTGGCTTTAAGAGATGGCAAAGGGAAGTCTGGGGAGCTGGACTGGAGGAGAGGAACAAGTGCAATCGCAGCCCCTGTGCTGAGGGAGAACCGGCCTTGATGAAGATGCCTCAGAATGCGAGTCCCCAAGTGCAGTTTAAACGCTCTGACAGGGCTCACAAAGATCTGCTGCATTGCCTATTCATTTATTTATTTATTTTTGGTTAGCTATAAATGGGGACTGTGGCATTTTAGTTCATTTTTTGTAAACCTGGAGGAATAGTCAAGATAAATTGTTTGCAGTTTGTGCACTAAAGGTTTTTTCCTCCTCTATTTTGGTTCTTGCCTGATATTTCTGTTGTTTAATGAAGGATCAGCAAATCCAGAGTTCTGTTCCCAAACCCGGTTCTCGGTGATGCTTCTTTTTTTTTCTACCTGTGACACCGAATAATGGACCTATGCTATTGTACATGACAGCAACTGTCACAGTTTTTACAGGATGTGTAGCTGCTTTCATTCATCATGGGGACAGGGAGAAATGTTTTATTGCTGTCATTTTGTCAGACGATGTGCCTCTGTTTTTTTTTTTTCCTTTTCTTTAAACCTCAGGAATATCTGGGGCACATAATATATGTGTGTGTGTGTGTGTGTGTGTGTGTGTGTGTGTGTATATATATATATACAGTATATATATATACTGTATATATATATGAATTTATTAGGTAACACTGCAATTACTTGTTGGTTTGAAAAAGTGCTGACTTTCCAAATAAAAGCCCCAGAGTTATTTTTTACTAACCATCCATCTGACTAGTTACCTGTATTGCAGCCAGTTATAGAACGAATAAGCAAGTCTTAATTATTCATTTCCGTTTCAGTTGACAAATCCCATTTTGGCTTTATTATTATTATTTATTTTACTTTTCTGCATGAAATGTGGTTAGGGCTTAATCAACTTCGTTAAAATGATCAGACAAGGCTAAATTGTTCATGACCTTAATTATTTAATTGTGTAAGGTTTTACTTAAGCTGTGTATCCTTGTGCTTCTCTTCTTCCTGCAGGGTAATCAGGACGTCACAGCACCACCCGAAACGATGGCACAGCCGTACGCATCTGCTCAGTTTGCATCCCCGCAAAATGGCCTTCCTGCTGAATACACAGCCCCCCACGCCCACCCCCACCCTGCCCCGGATTACACAGGCCAGACCACCGTTCCAGAGCACACGTTAAACATGTACCCCCCAGCACAGACGCACAGTGAACAGACCGCTCCAGACACAAACACACAGACAGTCTCCGGCACCGCCACAGTAAGTGCCCCCTCTCTCCCCCCCCCCCCCCGCCGCTGTGTGCTCTCAGTGTTGATGGAGTGACCACAACCATTTGCTATTTACATTGGAGGTTTGCCAGAAGATATATCATGTCTCTGTTTTTATGTTTCGGTGTGTCATGTGCTGATTTGGCAAATTTTACCATATTATGTTAAGAGGCCGATGTACTGCCTGTGGCATTAGAACAGGGGAATTATTTTGTTCTCTCTCCATTGCAATAAAAATAGAGCTACAGTAAATAAAAAAATATTATGCAATACTTTTATGTGTATTATTGCTGCATAATAATTTTGTTGTACATAAGAAATCTATATTTATCATATACAAATTTTGAACACTATAAAGAGGTATTAAAGGTTTACTTTTGTATATTTGAATTCTTCAGATGTTATAGAAATGTTGCATGTGGTATTCATGAAAAGAATATGGCCTTGGGAAGCGATCTGGTAATATATGTTGATGCCTACATATCAGGTTCAGAGAAGCTGAGACATTGGCACCATCCATGTGCAGGAAGAGGTCAGGGCAGGATCTATGTGGATGCAAATAGCTCAGAGTGGTAAGGATTGACCTTAGACTGATGTGGGTGAAATTGACCTTGCATTGATGTTGTGAGGCTCAGGTTCCAAGATATGAAAATAGACCTTTGAATGAGTGGTGCTGAGGAATATATATGGTACGGTGAAACACGGTATTTCTTTGGTGGATGAAAGCGATTTGAACATAACATATGTAGTGGTATCTTAGTTCTCTTCATCAGTGCAGATTATGCTTGGTGTTAAGAAGAGGTCTGGATTGCAAGATATGGTGAAATCACCTCTGCATTTATTATTGAAAAATACATGCCCTTACTCTTTCATCAGTCTTCAAAATAATTATAGTTAAAGCACTCTTACTCCTGTCATTATAATCCTCCCATTTATCCATTCATTATTTTCAATAACTGCTTGTGCAATCAAGGTCATAGATCCAGAGTATGTCTGTAAATGCCTAAGGCACAAGGTACTTTGAGATGCCAGTCTAGTGCATTATGGGGTCATTGTTTCTTTCCTTTATTTTTGAGAATGGGACACTCTGATATTAAGCAGTGACTGTTATTGTTTATTTGCCTGAAGTTCTGAAGGCTATTAAAAAGTCAGTCTCTGTCTATTATCCCATTATGCTTTGAGCCAGTAGGAAAAATATCCCAATTTAATGAGCTTTAAAGTTACTAAAGACTGGCATGACAGATAAAAAAATATGGTGCAGTATTATTATAGGCAAGGGGGTCATTTTTGAAAATATTGTGAATTGTTTTAACAGGTGTGAATTCCCCAGCTTCTGCTTGCTTGCTTAAAGGTAACAGATTATTTCAAATTAAAACAATCATATAATATTATTAGAAATGGCAGCAATTAAGTCTTCAAATCTCAAATCAAATCTCTGTGGAATGCTCTCAAATCAAGTATGGGGGTGGGGGGGGGTTCTATTTAGTGAAATAGGATCCAGCTGTGCAAGTCAGTGTCCTTGTACATTGATGTTTTGTTCTGGTCCAAACTTTAACACAAGCCCATATAAACAAACACAGTGGCGCACATTATAGGCAATTTAGAGATTAGTTCCCCTAAAAGCATGTTTTTCGACTGTGGGGGGGGGGGCTCTGGCAATTACCCACAAAATCAAGTGGAGAAACACACACATATGCACAGAGCCATGAACTGGAGTCAAACCCTGGATGTTTGGAAAACTACAGTAGTAACCATAGTCACCTGAAAGTGATTCTGAGTTTTTAATTGAAAAAAAATAATCAGATTAATAATAAAGCTGTCAAAGTGTACCCCACTGGATGTCAGCTGTGGTATTTCTCTGTGATGACCGCAATGGACTGGATGACTTATAGATTTCTATAGTTGAAGGGGATGAATTTGAACGGCCATGAGTCTGCGAAGTCAGCGCCCCTCAGACCGGAAAATACTTTGTCGTCTGTAGCTATTTTATTCGTAGACTTTTAATTCTATATATTTTTTTTTTTAACATGAGCATTAGGAATCAATATTGTGAGCCATGCTGTTGTGATAAGCAAGTGAAACAGCAGGGAAAGAGGATGAACAGGAAGATATATCTTTATTTAGGCAAAAGGAGAAGCTTTCCGTAATCAGAACATTGCCAAGTGTCAGGCAAACAATAACCTCCCAGGGCTCGATACGGTTAAAAAAACAAAACAAAAAAAAAACAGCAAAGGAAAATAACCAGAGTGTTCTAGCCCACTTGAGGCTTATTACCAGAGCTAGTGATCATCCATCGACTCTTCGATCACCCGTTCTAAAAATAAAAGAGAGGCGTTAGGTTTTTACATTCTCTGTTGGTTTCTCTCCCTGACTGACTGCTGCATTCATTGCCACGGCTGTTAACCTTACAGATAATTAGTTAATCAAGTCCAGGTGTTTCTGCTGAGGACAGGGCTGGGTGCTGAGTGGCACTGATGGAATCTCAAGGCTCTCTGCAGCCTCTCATGTCGCCGTGCCGTGCCGTGCACACCAAGCCAGGCCAACATGTCCTTCTTTTTTAAATATATGCTTCGTATAAGTTTTTCTTCTGTAAAGGACAGCAAATGTAAAATAAGACCAGTTGACTTGATTTGAAAATAAACAATACAATTTATTGAAATACTGCTGTGCATTTATTCTGTATAATTAAGGTTAAATGTGCTTTTTCTTCTTAACTGTGTTTTCTTAGGTTACATAACACATAAATGGGGGAAAAGAATAAAAGATTATTCCTGAAATTCAGATGTTTCTGTTGGACTACCTTGCAATTGTTTGACCTAGGAAAATCAAGTCTAACCCAATTAATCCAAGATGTGTCCTACAGAGTACTTGTGAAGTTGCAATTACTGCATTCTATTGGGGGGGTCAGACAACTGGTTCCACTCCATGTTATCACTCTAGAGCGACATCTGCTGCCAGCTGGACAACTGCAGGGCTATAGGTAGAATTAAGTGATTATTTCTGTCCTCCAAGCATGTTACAATGAAGCATGAAACTTGTAAAATGATCAAAAGCAGCAAATACAGAAGGTGTGTGCTAGTCCTATCTATCTATCTATCTATCTATCTATCTATCTATCTATCTATCTATCTATCTATCTATCTATCTATCTATCTATTTTTGTATGCTTGCACAAATCTTTCAAATCCCCCCCCCCTCCATGTTCACCAGTAAATGTCCACACAATTTATTTAATTACTTTTTTTTAGTGAATGGATATGAGAATCCGGGAAGAATAAGTAGAGAATGTAATTGTTGAATGGGATGGAAGTCCATTATTTCTTAATTGTTGGCTTCCTGCAGTTGACCTAGTGGGCTAATTGGCCCTTGGCTCTACAGAAGCAAGGAATGGACTACAAGAGAGCAAAAGCAGCACAACGAACCCATTAAATCCTGCTGTTTGACATGCTCAGCTGTACTCCTGTTGAGTATCAATGCAGGAGAGAGAGAAGAATTGAGGTCAGACCTCTATTTAAAATAGGGAGACTCACAGAAGGATCAGCATTTCTTTCTGGCTCTGTATTCATCTTTAATGATTGTATTAAAACAAATATTTTCTGGCTGTTTATTATGATTTGTGACTTTAAGGGCCATTGAGGGATCAGTCCAGCATATTATAACTGTTGCAGTATTCATAAGATACGTTTACTCCTAGGAATGATGATAAAAGTAAGTTGGGAATAAAATGTTAAACTCGAAAGTGGGAGATTATTACAAAGCTCTACTTTGCCTGCAGAGAAAAACAATTAGGCTTTTATTAGCACATTGCACACCAAATGAAGCACTGTGTTTTTTTTTGGTCAAAGTTTATCTTGTTTCTTTCAAGCAATTTAAATATGTTTGGACCATTATATTTTTTGAACATTGAACATGTAATTCCTCATTCATGGTAATTATCCATCCATCCATCCATCTATCCATCTATCTATCTATCTCTACGTCTGTCTGTCTTGAGGACATTGGGATAAATAGGAAAACAATTTAGCTGAAATTACAGTTTATGTTTGTAGACGTTCTTTTCAGTAGGGCACAACATCAGCATGGAAAATGCCGTCAACACCTACAAATCTGTCATGTAGTAAATCTCTTTTTGTTTTTTACTTTTCATTCTGTTGGGTAACTTTTCTCATTCCTCAGCACCCTCCAAAGAGCAGTGCTCACATCCATCACCTACCAGTATTCATCGCATGTAGATAGCTACTTTTGATGGGAAACTCTCAAATGTCTGGTATATCGGCTAGGCGTCAGAATTAGCCTCCGAATCCCTCCTCTGTCAGTATGTAGTCTTTTTGGACCTCCATCCTGCATCACTTACACATCTTGTTCAACATACCTGTGTGCTGCTGTGTCTGCTGAGGAGGAGTGAGGGAGGGATGTCCCAGAGATGCTGATTGATCATAGAAGGCCTTGTCCAGTAAACATTGAAGCAGAATACCAATGAACAGTTTCTAGTCGACTTGCATGCCTACCTGCAATATGTTTTTTGATAATGGCCCAGCTAAAAATGGTAAGCTGCTGGCCAAAGGTGAAGGACAGGCTACCCTATAAGAAATGTAGAATATAGAGGCATTTGAATGTCCATCTATATTCAAACTGACTCTTTTTGGGATTGCAGGTCTGATGGTACACGTCCCTTGTGGCACAGACCATATTAACTGCTATATCTGCCACTCAAGTATATCAGAAGGTCTTACCTGCACTGTCTTGCTGGGGCCATTTTAATAGGTGGGGGAGCTACTGAAAAGATCCCCAAAGGATAATTGGAAAGAGTCTGTTGTTCCTATATGACCACATGGTCACCTACCTGTACCACCACCCTCAAATGCAGCATCACTGGGCTTTTTTTTTCAATACTCTTATCTGGTTCTGAATTAGAAATACAGCCAAATCCTCCATCTTAATCTCCAGTTCTATAGCTTTGATTATACTGAAGGTAAGTCATGTAACTAGGTG